TGTTCTACTGAAACTGAGGTGCCAAGATGCAGGGGTAGGTAATGGAAGAAAATAACCTAAAAGAATACATTGCTGCTTTACCCTGGAGACATATGCTGCTCTTTATCACCACAGGGAACGTCAGAGGCAGGAGGGAACGGGGGCAAGAGGAAACCAGAACGCGATGAGCCAGGGTGGGAAACGGCACCCAGCATCTCTGAGACCACCCAGCATCAAGATACTGGTGGGGAAAGGATTTGTAATGTCCAGAAGGGATGTTGCCAGGCCAGTAAAAATCACCATTCATCGTGGCAAAAAGCATCATCTCCTGCTTTCACAGAAGAACAGCCTAAAAAGCATTCCATGTTTTGGGGGGTGAAGGTGAGACTGGGCAGTGAAGTCCCGGGGGCCTGGGCAAGGACTCCTACAGGAGGACTCCCTGCAGATCCCCAGTGCTTTGCCACATTTCTAGTGAACAAAATTCCCTGGCCAGAGGAATATTTAGTTTTTATCTTTTCTGTAATAATTAAAGACCGTAAATAGTGGAATGTTATACAGCAAAGAGATCCTTACCTTGGCTTAAGTGCAGGGTGCAGCCTTGGAAATCAGTTGAATTATTAAGAAGAGATACTCAGATTCTTCAATTGTTCTTTTCATTCATGAAAAAGGCTTTTGTGGTTCATACTTCAAAATTTTGCCTAGCCAGTTCACAATCAGATGTCAACGTCTTAAAGGTTTAGGATGAAGGAGAGGGAATGTGTTTCTAAAAATCTTTTAGGACACTATTTCATCAATTGATTATAATCAAAGTGAACTGCAATGCCCTCAGACTTTCCCAACTTTCATTTTAAGTTAAAGCCTGAATACCCAACTCATTCATGAGCACAAGGGAACAGGAGCAGAACTGGTTCTAGCTGGTGACCCATTGGGATGAAGTTTGATATTCCTCTCACAGCCCCAAACCTTTAAATAGCCCTAGCTTACCATAGACAAATACAGCCAGACATGAATTAGCGATGCGTTTCCTTAAAAACAACAAATTCCTAGGAGCACCTTTTTCCTCTTTGCATTCCAGTTAAGTTTTTGAGACTGGCCAAACCAAATCTGCCCAAATTTATGTAAATACATTTTTACAAGAATTAACAGCAACTGTAAATTCACCACAATCCACCATCCTCTATATAGTGCACGTCAAAAGTACGGAAGAACGGAGAGATTCAGTGCTGCTGAATGAGCAAGCACTGCTGTCAGTGCTATCCTGGAAGAAAGAACGTGGCTTTTCTGTGCAGTGTATATATAGCGTGCACTTAAAGAGGCAACCGCTCCTATGTGTGATGCTTCAGCAGAAGCAAGTGCTGCTCTGCAAACAAACTCTGGCGATGAAGCTTTTTTTTCCATACACTAAACTTCCCTTCACCTACATCTCTAGGAGGAAACACTCCAGTTCAGTCACAAAATGGAAAGTCTCGCTGTACCTGGGACTGACACGTGAACGTTGTTCTCTTTGGGAGAAGATGCCGCTGCCTGAGTTAAGTCTCCTGAAACCAGAGAGCTTGAAACCAGTAGTTGGAATTAGCAAATACTGTGCTGGAATGGCTACAAGATCACACCCATGCCAACAACCTGTAGTTAGATTTAACTGGAAGGTCATGGGACAGTGGCATAGCATGTAATTATTTTAAACCGCATGATTAAAAGCAGCATCCAGAGAATTTTGATCACTTGGAGGGGTTTTACAAACATTGGTAAAGAACTGTGTCCTCCCCCCTCACAGTCATATGTCTAAGCTACAAAATACTCCCATAAGGACAGAAGCTGGACAGGAGGAAAGCCAGAACTCACCTGTTAGTGATGCTAGAGGTTACTTAGAATTCATGCTTGTCTGTATTGTTCTAAGTTGGCAGCATCCCCATAAAACACTTCCAGTTCTGTCCAAAGCAGCATGGACATGTGCCTCTCCCTCCTGCCCATCGCCATCACACTACAGTGCAATCTTCCAAAATAACCATGACCATTTCCTATAGAATATGGAAAAGTAGTTGTTCTTCAAGATTAAGGATCTAAAAGCTTAAGAATTAACAGTGAAATTGCTGCCGACTGGGGAAAATTATCTCGTTTCATATCAGAATTTTGAATTAATTCTTCATTTTTTTCCCCAGAACTGTTTAGAAAAAGGCTCTCATTTTGGCAATGAAAACAAACCTGAATTAAGATTGAAGATGCTTTTTCTGATTTTACATTTTAGTTTCTTTCTCCCATAATTTGTAAGATGAACAAAAATATACATAAATCAGGAGAAAATTGTTAAGGATAAAAAGAGAGAAAAAGACCACAAGACAAAACATGTGAAATATGATAGGTTTGGGGCTCAAAGTAATTTAAAAAAAAAAAATCAGGTTAATCTGGCTATTAATACTGTTCTTAGGGAATTGGTCCAAATCCTAATGTTAGGAAAGTTGAGTTTGCAGAAATTTCAGAGAAAACCATGTCGAGGAAAGACTTGCACTGAAGAATTGCACTGAAAAAGGTTACTGTGAATCACTGAGGAAGACATGCTGCCTCTTAAGGAACCACACACAAAATAAAAAATTGCTTCTCTTTCCAAGTCACTCACCAGTGTTGTGTATATTTAACTTAAAACCCAGTCATCTGCTCTTTTTAGATTTGATGGCAGTAAGGAAGATACAGATATAGAGAAAGTATAGGTCTGGGAACAGAATTTTATTTGATTCTGGAAAGTATCATGCAACAAATCTCTTTTTTTTAAATGATCCTTGCCCAGCTTTCAGATGACAAATTAAAATTTACAAGTAAAAGGATGTGTAAGGTTAGCACCATAGGAGGAATAATCTTCTCTTTACAACTCCATTTGACAGATGCTTATAAAGGAAAACAGAGGAAAAGAAAAAAAAACTAGGTGACCTTGCATTTTTATTTTCAACATCCTAGATACTTAAACCTAAACATCAAGATACCATGACTCTCCTAGCATATTTAAATAATTAATGTTCAGCAAAACTTGCTGTGTACATTGAGAAATATTTAAGTGTCAAATGGTAACTATCACAAAGTACCAGCTAATATGCAAGGTAAACATTGTAAAGGTCCAGAAAAAGAAATGAAACAACAGAAACCAAAGTGAGGAATTTGTCCCTCCTTCCAGTCTTTTGCAGGTATGGCTATCATGACTTGCTGCAAAGATCAAAAAAATAAAAGGGATGTGTACTGGGTCTGGCTGGGATGGGTCAAATATCCTAACGTTATCCTGTTATATCCTAATTTCATGGGCCAAATATCCAGATGTACTTAATCTAAACTCGCCCATTTCCTACCTGCAAGCCACTACAGGATTACATCAGACTTCAAATGTCTGTTTCCCTTACTTTTGTGTTCATTTTAAATATTTGCTCCTTGTGGCTCTTACTGTAAGATTTCCACGATAGCGAACAGCTTTACAAACCCTCCAATCTTTACCAAGCAGGAATTCTAATGCAGGATTTAGGAATTTTAAATGCCATGTTATTATGTGCTGTCTTCGTAACGCAATGGAATAATTCCTTTGAAGTATCCTAATTTTGCATTACAAATCAATGCTAAGATTTCCTTCGTAAGCATCTCTAATTACAATACATGTAAAATTATTTAAATGTTATTAAACTATTAACCTGACTTAATTCTTAAAAGAAGGGTTCAAACCAAGATCATAAGGAAGAGGAAACTTTTTGTCATAGTTTGGGAAATATATCTTTTGATTACTCCCACCTTGCGAGGTCATGCGCGTGGACTTTTAACAGCAACATTAAAGCAACCAGTTAAAACAATTGTTTTGTATCTAAATCATAACAAAATCATTTCCTCTAATCCCAAAGCAAAATGTGATATAACCCAAACCAGCTGGTTTTTTCAGACTGATAACCATTAGCACTAGAACATCTATTGCAGTAAACGCGGTTTTAACGCAGAGCCAACGTTAATGTTGAACTACCCAGAGGAGCCTTCGCAGCCGTGAACACTACGTAACTTTACCACCGGGAGAGTAAGGAGACTCTGAACTTTTCTTTATCTTTCCTTTATTTATGCTTGGACTTCCAGCACTGCACATCAGATACCCAGGGTCTTAATCTGTCCTGTATCAGGCTGCAAAAATACAATGCTTTCTCAACTGTCCTTGCATCAACAAATCAGTCAGTCACATCCAACAAACCCTTCACTTGAGTAGTTACTTCTATCTAAAAATGCATCTCTCCTCTTACGGATTTCACCTTATGCTTCTGGCTTATAAAAGATTAAGTGCAATCAGTTACACTGAAAGTTTATAATGCAGCTCTTGATTGTATTTTCTGTGCATGCATTTACATCAGGCACACAAGTTATATAAAACAGTTTGGAGTACAAAAATATGGTTATAACATAGGAGTACCAAACAGCACAGAATTAGAACAGCTTTATTACCGTAATACCAATTTATATACAGACCTCCAAATTAAGGATTTTTTAATTCTAAGTATTCTTCCCAAATTGACAACTGTAGTGTACACTCTAAAAAACTGCAAATTACAACACAAATCTATTTTAACGCCTACATTGTCTATGCAGTCTGCACCAATCCTCTCTTGCACACAAAAATGTATTATAAATAATTTTTCAAAAAATGTCATGTATGTTTTATTGCACATTGTACATGCCAATATCTAAAAGAAAGGCTCAAACCTTTTGCTTAATAACTGTTTAAATACCTAGCATTTACTTGCGTTATGAATACTATTGCATTTGTCAGGCTCTAATCTTAACTGATAATTTAAAAGAAAAAAGGCAGAACAGAAAATATGCCTCGAACTGTATAGCTTTTGTGAAAGAAACAAGCTTTTTTTAATTTTACTGATTTCTACTGTATAAAGTCATTAAAAACATCTGACCTAATTAAAAATCCCATTTCAAAATTTCTGCATTTTTTTACTATAAAATTATGCATATAGCTGCTTGTATAATCATATATTCCTTCTGTTTTGCAGAATTAGATGTTCCTGTGTTGTACTGACTAAAAGATTGAGTTACACAGGTCCTAGTGTTAACTATAGGAGTTAGTGTGTCAGTCTCCGTTCTGCCGGTCTCCCCAGTGGTGGCAAGCAAGGAGCCCGTCAGAACACCAGAATGGGTTGGTATAAAAAGACACTGGGCACAAGTGGCCATCAAGCATCAAGGCCATGTATAGTTCCTGTTAAGCGGATCTCTAGACTAAGGAATATGAGTTATTTATCATTAATATGTGGGTTTATGGTATGCTGCACTAAAATATGACCACTAAACAAAGAGAATGATTCGTGTATGATAGATATGTGCCAGCTGGTAAAAATGCCTCACTGGGTAAAAATCTGCATTTTGAGGGTTAAAACTCTGGCACAAACAAAAAGATTAAAAAGTCAATTGATCAAATGTTTTGCCAAGGGTTTCTAAAGCTATTAGCCATCAACAGCTCCAGAAACGGATAAAACCAGCAAAACCAAACAACTAAAATTGCACTATTACAAAGAAACAAGTCCGTGAAAGGGAGAGTCACCAGCTGCAGTTAAGGGACAGCCACTTCAAGAAGCCGATTGTTTTTTCGCTTGCAAGTTGGGATGTTGCCATTTTTCTGGCTGCCTTGTATGAACTTCACACACACTTTATCTTGTCTGAACTGGACCAGAAACCTAGGAGAGGGAATAAAAAGATACATTTTAGTTAAAGGTGGAAAAAAACACATGAGGAGCAGAAGTCCTTCCTCTTGGTTCTGAGCATCACTCCAAACGATGTCATTTTCAGGTCTGTTATTATTAATAAGAGTTGGGGAATTAAAAAAATCCACAGGTTATGGTATGGCTTGAGTCTCATTTGGGTAGTATCTCTTAATTATTGCCTTTTGCCTGTAACTCTGGACTTTTTACAATAGCTAGTTTGCTATTCCTTTAGAAAGAAGGCAGTTTAAAACAGTATTTCTAATGTACCAGAAATGCAGCAAAGACTATTTCCAACTCCTTCACCATCATCCAAACGGACTTTTCTGTTTTCATGGAAGCTAAATACTTCCATAGCAACATCAGGAGTGCTGCTCTTCTGGTTTACACTTAATTTAGTATACCCAGTATTTTAGCAGCTCTCATATTTCTAATCCTTAGTTAGCCTTTGCAGTCCTCTGCTTGGCAACTGGGAAACTTCACTTCCTTCCCAGCAATCCCCAAATTTAGATATTTCCTACAGTCCAGGATAAATTAATCTGGATTTGACTCTTCACTTTTTACTGGAAGAGAAATTTCACTGAATGTGGAGAATTGCTTTAAAAAAGCCAATAGGCTCCTGTGGAGCCTCAAACTTCTCACTGATCTGGATAGCAAGATTAAAAGCTATAAACAGGGCAGTGCTGCCTTCTGGCTCACACGCAGCGGTTGCTGACCTAAAAAGTCCTTTGTAATACAGCAGCTTTTCTCTTTTACCATCCTTAAAAAGTCCTCCAGCAGAGGCCAAAAACTTCAAAGAATTTGTTCTCCAGCCGGAAACCACAAATCAAGCTGACGGCAGAGCTCAGGGGAGGAAGTGGCCTCTGCTGCGCCGAGCTGCCCTTCC